GGGCTGCTTTATTTCTCGAGCCGTGCATAATGAGTCACGAGCTGTAGAGCAGCGCCGACCCAAGTGGGCTCTTTCACATTTTAATCCAGCCTTGCCCCGGCGCGGCGGCACGGCTTTCCTCCGGCCGCCTGACTCAGCACGTCCCGGCTTTCGCCGTAAAGCCGTAAACCGGCTTTGGGGTGCCTGGTCCCGGGTGGAACGCCCCGTGGCAGGGCGGCGAGGGGGTAGCGGTGTCCCAGCAGACCTCCTCCTGCTGCTTCTGCTGCCGGGCTGAAATGGGATGGTGGCAGGGGTACGGCGCTGGGTGATTTTGGGTAGTGGGAGTGCCCCTCCAGCCCGAATTTGGAGCGATGCGCAAGCTGGAAGCGCGTTAGTTGGTGGGAAGCCATCGGCCGTAATTCACGCCTACGAAATCCGAGCGTGTTTGCGATGCCTGTGTGGGATGCTCAGCGCTCTGCCCTTCGTCGCTACTCGTTTTTGTACTCAGCGGTGGTTGCCCACCTTCTCTTCTCAAAAAACAAAAAGCGACAGCTCAGACCTGCCCCATCGTCATGGACTTGCCCAGCCATCGCTGGACCTGACCTGTGGGTTCGCTCCCTGGCTTGATTTCTGCCCCATCACCACCACCTCGCCTGGTGCTCCAGGCTTTTGGTGGAACCTGGCTCTGATCTTCACCTCCTTGGCTGGGGTGCGGTGGGACAAGCCCCGGCTGGAGAGGTCCTGCCCTGGTGACCTGAACGTCTCCTACGGGAAGGACCTGAGATACGTGTGTCGGGCAAGTTGATGCTAGTACAACTGCCCGTACTTAGATTCCTGAGGAAGGAGGTAAAACAAAACCGGCCAAAACGCTGCTTTCCAGAGGAGTTAAGCAGCTAATAAAACCCAAGTGGAGCAGGAAATTTGACGAAGCCTGACAGAGCCAGGTTGGCTGATGCCACGATGAATGCGAAGGGGATCCAATGACCCAGGCGGGCTTGGAAGAGCCCCAGCTTTGCCTGGCTGCTTACAGAGCTCACGTCTTCGTACCGCTCTGTGCAAAATACATATATATTATTTTTATTGTGTTTTATTCGACGAAAACAGTTCCAATATCCCAACCCTGATGAGGACTCCAGTAGGTACATGCTGTTGAAGGTTTTGCCGTAAGAACGGATCCGTCCGTTCTGTCATGCGCTTCCCGGGCAGATATTCAACAGCGGGCAACGCCGGAGGAAGGAGCGCGTGCCTGAGCGTGATGGAGGGAGCTGTGAAAAAATGCCGGGGCTGTGTGTGTGTGAGGCGGGGGGGGGATGGGGGGAGCTGCCCGCGGGATGGTAGCCAAATTCTGGCCATCCTTTTGCTTGCCCGAGGTGCAAGCCGGCCGGCGCTGCGGGGTATGAGTGCTCGGGCTGATGTCAAGGGGGAGCGAGGGGGGGGATTTGGTGGGAGCTCGGTGTTAATTAGGAGCGGGCCGGTAGCCAGGACAACGTTTCCGACCGTGTTTGCCCTCTCATTCATCTCCCCCCGTGTTTTGGGAGGTGGAGTCGTAACGCTTTCCAGCTTCTCCTCCAAAAGGGATTCCCCGGCGTTAATTCCCAAGTGCTCAGCGGGACAAAGATGACGGTTTCAACGATGAGCTGATTTCCTCCCCGGTACCGTGGGGATGGGGACGAGGATGAGGATGAGGATGGGGAGGAGGGAGGCGAGGTGGCGTGGGTGCAGCCCATGTCCCCGATGCACAGGGTTAGGCAGCAAAACTCCTCGCTGATGAGAGGGAACGGAGTTTCCTAGCCATATAAAGACACAACTTGAACCGTGGCCAGGTTGGGTGTTTTTTTTCGTTGTTTTATTGGATTTCCCCTCCTTTTTTATTTTATTTTATTTTATTTTTTTTCCATATACAGGAGAAATTAAAGGTCATCATATGTGAACACGGTAATGGGTCCATCCCAGTGCCAGGGATGGATCCAACCACCTGGTTGGATCATCAACCTGGTTTATTTGGGATGCTTTTTCCCCTTGCGCTGCCTCAATCGTTACGGAGTATCTTGTGTATGTACACCTACGCACACATAAAACCACACTTTTTGGGTTTTTTTCTTTTTTTGTCCCTTTTCTTTATTTCTTTGTGGAGTCCAGGCTGGCCTGATTCGGACAGACAGCAACGAGTTCTTCATCGAGCCCCTGGAGAGGGGGCAGCAGGAGACGGAGGAGCACGGGAGGGCGCACGTGGTGTACCGCCGGTCGGCCATCCGGCAGGACGGCGCAGAGCCCCGCCAGGACCTCCACCCCGAAGGTAGGGGCACCTCGAATCTAGTCTTTCCCAGCAATTGATAACTATTTCTTGGGGGGAAGGAGGATTTCTCCTTCCACTTGCCCTCTGGGTCACGTCTAGCCCTATGGCTTGAGGCTGGTTTTAACTGCTGGTTGGGTCGCCAGCGAGAAGAAAGGGAAGAAAATGCTGGGAATGTGGGAACTCTTCCAGATTTGGTTAAAATTCGATGGGTTATATACGAGCTATTCTTCCTCTTTGAAGAGGAAGAATCTCCTAGATGGGTGTGGTCAGGCCCATGGATGATCACAGCGACCTTGGGATGAGAAGCAGAGTTGGGACTTGTGAGTTAAGGGGTCAGGAGGAGCTGAGCTTACTCCAGCCTGGCTGCAACTTGGGGATATAGGTGCTGCAGTCTTGTTCTAATCACCTGTACGTTGCAAAATGTGGCGTTGATTTGACTTTTTAACAGCTGATAGAAGTCCTTCCTTTTCCCAGCGTTCATTCCACTTTTCTAGTGCCTTGTCCTTTTTTTTTTTTCCTCCTTTGCCTTGAAGCAAAAGTCACTTTTTTTTTTTTCCCCTTAATGGCATCACTTAAGCCGTGCGCTGCACTCTCAGCGCATAAATCGCCTGCTGACTTCCCCTCTCACCTGCGCGAAGCCGAGCGCACCCAGAAGCGTTTCCAAGCGTGGGGTCAACGTGGTGCAGAAGCACTCCCTGAACCTACTAATATTTATGCAAAGGCATTAGCCTTCCCCGGTGTTTATTCACCTCTTACGGCACCGTAATCAGCTCCCTGATTTTTAAAAAAAAAAGTTTAAAAGAGTTTTCCAGGGTGTGCTTGTTGCTTTTGCAGCATCGCTAATGGAGTTGCAATTGAGAGCTTTGAAGGGATTGTTGGGTGATGACGGGTGAAGGACGCGATGAAGGGTGAAGGACGCAATGAAGGGTGAAGGATGCTCTGGCTGCGGCTGTCTGCTCTCAAGGAGCAGCCCCCAGCCTTGCGTGTATCCTCCCTAGCCACCCAGGTGTCCCACCACCCCTCAACGGACAGTGTAGGACTATCATCGGCATAGATGTGTCTTTAAGTGCTGGTGCTCCCAATTCAGAGCCATTTCCCCACTGTAGACCAAGCTGGATCAGCGACCTGGTTGGAGTTAAACATCCTAATTTATTTTTCCTGCCTAATTTATGGGGTTTTTTTTGGAGTGTCACCTTGGTGTTGGGTCACCTCACTGGCTGTTCCTCTTTCTGTTCCCACACCGTGCCTCGCTCAGTGCCCGGTGTGCAGGTGGGAGATCTCCCCAACTCCCTGGAGCTGATGACGGAGCGGCTGGGGGACGCGGAGCGCAAGAGGCGTCATGCCAGGAAGGATGACTACAACATCGAGGTCTTGCTGGCAGTGGACGACTCGGTGGTACGCTTCCACGGGAAGGAGCACGTCCAGAACTACGTCCTCACCCTCATGAACATAGTAAGGCTTGGCTCTGGGGGGCCGTTGGCTCCCACCCCTCTTTTGATTTACTGCTCTTTTGGTGCTGGAAATCTGTTATCCTGGAAAAAAAATGGGTTTGAGGGTGGTGGGGAAGTGCTGCAGGAAGGGTTGTTCCTTCGCACAGCCGGCTCTGGCGTTTCATAGCCATGGTAATTGGAGTGATGGAAAGCAGAGCCCTTTTATGTTCATCTCCATGATGAGAGAGGACAAGGAGAGGGAATTTTTACAAGGGCATGTAGTGATAGGACGAGGGGGAATGGCTTCAAACTGGAAGAGGGGAGATTTAGATTGGGTATTAGGAAGAAATTTTTCCCTCTGAGGGCGGTGAGCCCCTGGGGCAGGTTGCCCCGAGAAGCTGTGGCTGCCCCATCCCTGGAGGTGTTCAAGGCCAGGTTGGACGGGGCTTGGAGCAACCTGGGCTGGTGGGAGGTGTCCCTGCCCAGGGCAGGGGGTTGGAACTGGGTGATCTTCAAGGTCCCTTCCAACCCAAACCATTCTATGATCACATTCCCTTGGCCAACGGCAGGGTCCGGCGTGGTGGTTGCTGTCACTGTCTTTCACCCAAGTCCAAGAGCATCTTCTGTTTCTCCTGGCCAAGACCACCTCCTCCTCATGGCCGAAATCTCAGCAAATGCTAGGAAAGAGGATGGCTATTGATTATTTAGTTTGAAAATATGATATTTATTATTTATTTTGTAATTATCATGTTTTTCATTTACTTTGAAAAATAGTTATTGATGGGGGGAAGATTTTTGTGGATTTTCAGAATTTTTTTTCGCGTTCCTCGGAAAACCTGCGCCCCTTGAGGATTAGTCCGATGTGTTTGAAAAGGAATTTATAGCAGCGTTACAGCAGCTCTACTTCTGCAACCTCTCCTCTCCCGGTGGCGCAGGGCATCCTGTGCTGATTCCCTACAGCGCTTTTCTTTACTTTTTAAGGTAAAAAAGTCCATACTCCCCAAGTCCTGAGAGATGTGGAAGGATCAATATTTATTCAGCTATTCATCTTGCAGGAGGTTTGCTCCGCCGGCACCTGAATGTCTGCGAATAGGGTCGGCGTTGAAAGATCTCTTTCCTGCGCTCTCCCATTTTTGTTTTGTTTTCCGTGCTTTATCCTCACCTCTATTTATTTATTTTTATTAAAGTACTCTTTTTCCACGGCGACGGAAAGCGTGCGAGAGGCGCAACCCAGCTCAGAAATAACCGAGCTGTAAAGATGCTTTTGCTTTTTGGTTGTTTTTTTGGGTGTTATTTCTGCCCTGGCAGGCGGGCTGAGGGCCATATTGCCAGTAACGAAGGGGAAATTATCAACATAAGGATTTTCAGGATTAGAGGCCGAGCGTTAAAGCGACCGGTCCCAAATAGAGAAGATGTTAAATAACAAATGCCTTCCTTGCGGCGTTTTATTCTCCCGTACGTTATCCGGATGCTCGTGGTAAGGATGCTCTCAGCATCGCTTAAATTCGCTCTCTGAAAGTTTCTCCCTTCTGCTTATTAAATCCTTGTGTGAGGGGGCGAAGCCGCAGGGTTCTTCCCACGTTTTTGGGAGGTTGGGGGGGGGAAAGATTTGGAGATGATGTCATTTTTCCTTTCCGATCCTGGGGGGAGAAGGGCCGGTTTGAGGCGCCTGGGGATTGTTCAGCTCTTATCAAAAGGGTGGTTTTCAGGCGCATTTCACGGTTTATACCCCGCGGGCAGGACTTTTCAGGGAGTGAATGCGCGGGATGCTGTGCTGGGAGAAGGGGGGGACCGCTGCCTATTCAAATAAAGGCAGCGCTGGAGACTTTAATGAATTAAATAAAGGGAGAGGGGGGGAAAAAAACAGCATCAATAAAACGGGGGAAAACCTCAGGGCAATGCATGCGACAAACACTTCCCCAAGTATTATTTCCTTCTCTGCGTCCTTCCCCCACCCCCTTCCCCTTCTTTCTTTCTGTTTTTTTAGTGCGTTCGCTTTCCAGCTTTGCCGTGACCTCCGTCCGCCTCCTCTTCTTCCCTTGGCGCCGCCTCGTTTCCTTACCGGCTCGGATTGCCTTAAAACACCCGATTCAGCAGAAAAAAAAAATAAATAATAAAAATATGCTTTCTGGCCTGGCTGGCAGAGGGGGAGAGAGAAGGAGGGTGCTGGGGGAGGGAGGAGCGTGCTGGGACCACACAGCTGAACACTAATCCCATTAGTTGGAGGCAAGGGGAAGGGGGAGAGGCTTGGCCAGCCCTCTAACGAGGAAAGGACTTAATGAGCTTGGGCTGGAGTACGCCGGGGAGATGCTGCATGGGAGCCAGCTGGGAAAGCTGTTTTCCTATCAAGATATATCCCAAGGGAAGGGGGGGGACGGCGAGCTTGGAAGTTGATAAATAAACTTTCCTGGCTTTTTCTGGGATCCCTGTTGGGGGGACGGTGGGATGTGTACCCCTTCCCGGTGCTGTGCGGGCTGCTGCTGTAGGTAGGGTCCTGGGGCTCTCCCCACGACACAAACCCTTTTATTAGGATATTAGGAACTCGGTGTTGGCTGAAGGTTGGTGATAAATGATTAGTCATGGAAACTTATTATTTTTTTAAAAAAAAAAACACAACCAAAACCACCGTTATTTTGTTGCCAGAAATGTGGATGCCAGGCTTTCTGTTAAACGGCGCCATGCCCATCCTGGGAAGCTGATGTTAGGATGACTGCTCCTTTTTGGGCACCTAAGAGCTTCCCCGCAGGCTGCCCTCCCCGCTGGCTCCCAGCCCGCCTTCCCAGCTTGCCATTCCCTCCTCGGCTCGGAGGCTCCACGAGGATTTCGGGTCAGGCGAAAGCGAATGGCGCTAGGTGGATCACAGCCTTGGCAGACGCATCCTGACTTCGATATATTCTCGCTTTTCGCCTCGCGGTCTTCTGCGAGGAAGGCTGCTGGGTGCCAGGGCTGAAGGGTGGGAAGAAGGGTTGGGAACCAGGAGGGGATCCATCACTCTGTAAGGAGGAGAGGCAATGTTTTGTGTCCTGCTTTGCTTTTCCGCCTACTTGTCCTCTTGGTTTTTCTCCTCCCGACTTCCCGGCGCTTTCCACTGATGCTCTCGAGGTCCCGTTCGGAGGAGACAAAGCCGAGCTGTGGGCTCCGTGAAGCCCGGCCCTCCTGTCACCTGGTTTGGTGGGGTTTTTGTAGGGTATTGCCCCGGATTTGGTGAAGGATGCGAAGGTACTCGGTGTTTTCCCGTTGTTTTGGGTTACTAGGGAAACCCCCGTGAGTCAGAGCCCGCTCCAGGCTGGGACTTGCCCGGCTCCCCTCCGGCACATCACGTCGGCAGAATTATTGTTCTCAGGGGACGAAGGCTGCTGCTGAGACCCCGTGGAGGGAAGGGGGAAAATCAAACTTCCAGCTTTATTTTTAACCTGGGATCATCTGAAAAGCCAAGCCGGAGCATGGATCGCTTAAGTGATGGCTTTGCTGAGCTCGGTGCCGTTTCAGGAGGGAGGGCAGCCTAAAATAATGGGCAAATTATAGTCGTTCTGGTTGGGTTTTTTTGCGGGGCGGTGGTTCACGAGCCATCTCCTTGCTGATTGATAATAACCAAAAATACCTCTGATGTCCCTCTTGATGCACGCGCGTGCTTTTTCCCACCCCCTGCGTAGACTCCCCTGGTTGTTGCTATGTTTTTGGGACAACATGGCCTGTTGTGCGGCGATAAAAATCTGGAAGGGCGAACCTCCCCTGGTCTCCCCTTCGCTCCGCGTTGGAAACGTAGATGAGGTGGGTCAGAGGAGGTGAGCATCCCTGCAGGGGGGGATGTGGCAAACCCCCCCCATAATGTGGTCAGGAGGACTTTTGCCGCTGTTCCCGACCCCTCAACCCCCCAGCGAACAGGCTGAGGGTTGCCGGGGGTGGGGGATGAATCCACTGGGACGGAAAGTGAGCGAGGGGATAAAAAGAAAGGAGCTTAAAGATGACTTGGCTGTTCTGAGCAGAGCGATCCTGGGGTTTGGAAATGTCAGCTATTCTGCTGGTCTGGCGCATTCTTCTCGCGCCTCTCTCTCTTTTGTTTTCCTTTCCTCCCCCCACCCCCACCTCCCCGAGCCCTCCCCGAAGAACGAACGGCGAGGTCTAGACAGTTTGCCAGTGCGGTTTGCTGTCGGGATCTCGCGTCTGGGGCCGCAGGCTCTGGGGTTGGCCAGACTCGCAGGGATTTAGGTAGGCAGCCTCGCTCGCTCCCAGCGCCAGCGAAGGTCTGGGAGGGGATGGGGAAGGGGGGGTCCCACGCACTCGGCGAATTCATTGAGCATTTAGGAGAGGATGCACGAGTTTTTGGCGTTCTTTTCGTGCTTTGTAAAGCATTAGCACGGTCCTTCGGGGGCTTTGGAGTAGCCTGTGGGGTGGGGGGTGTCCTGTGGGATAGTGGTTCTTGCTGGTTTAGCCCTCAATGCACAGCGAGCCTTAAGGGCTGGTCTGGTTCAGGTGGAAAAAATCCTCTTTTAAATGAAATAGGAGAGGGTTTCTTGCCAGGTGACAGTATTAAACAGGCTGGGCACCTAACCACGTGGGGGAAGGGGAAGGGAATAAGAAGATCTTTATCCCATCTGTTTTCAGGGAGGTGGGGTCTCTTTATGGGAGCCCTTTGCTGAGCAGGTATTTTCTGGAGGGATTTTCTTTGAAGGCATTGACTCGCTTAATGGCATCGGCAGAGGGCAGGGGGGAGTTGTGCCAAGCCTGCAAACTCCTCTCCAGGCTGATTTCCATCCCCTCCCGCCGGCTTGAACCAACTCCAGGGCGGGCTGATGGGCAGCGAGCGCCGAGCCCTTTTGATTTTTCTTTCTTTTTTTTTTTTTTTTTTTTTTTTAATTTTTGCTCAATCAATTATTTATATCTGTCTGTTAAGGGAAGACCGTAGCCTTGGGCAGTCTGGTTCCACATCTGCTTTCTGAATTAACCGTAAAGGTCGCTGCTGCTGCAAACTGGTATCTGTTAGGTGCCTAAATGCTGCCCTCCCCTAGACAAAACAGGGGTTTTAGGGTTTAACCCATTTGGTTCGGGGGCTGGAGGGGTGCCTTGTCCCTGCTCGCTGGAGGAGAGCGGGATTTAGCACTGCTTTAAGAGGAAAATTTAGGGGATTAAATCCCGCCTTGGAATCATACAGCTTCTTGCGTCTTAGTCCCTTAACGAGCTGTTTCTCAGCTGCTCGTGGTCCTGCTGCTGCCCGTAGCCGCTTCTCTCAGCGAGGCTGAGGAAGGATGCGCGGCGCTGGGAAGGTCTTGATGAGTTTACTTGTCAATGCCCGTGAAAAGTACTGCTCTTCCCAAATTTTCCTTCTCCCGGGGGTGGTGGTGGCGGCATGGTTTGGGGTGAGGAGCTCTTCTCAGACCTGGGGACTGTTTGCTGGTGGGAAAAGTTGTTGCTGGGAGAAGGGCTGTGGGGTCGGTTAACCAGCACGGAGCAAAGCTCTTGCCCCAACAGCTCCTCTCCTCGTGTTCCCTCCTCCCCTGGATGTGACCCTCCTCTTCTCCCGCTGCTGTGCGGCGAGTTGCCCCAGCGCATCCTTTCCCGCTCCCCGTGGGCTATGCTGAGCATCCTGCCAAAATATCCCGCACTGCCGGGAAGGGAGAGGTCTCCGCTGCTCCCTCAGATGCTCTGAGTCATGGCAAGGTCAGGCGATGGCTTGGCCGGGAGCTCTGGCTGGCGGAGAGGTCCCTAAGGCAGGAACATGGTTCATCCCAATGGATCGAGGGGTTCTCGGGAGCTGGGGACAAGCGGGAGAGTGCTGGTGGATGATGTTGAGGTGTTGGCTGAAGCGGAGGCTTAATGGTGCTCCAGCTCTCAACAAGCGCTGGTGGTGAAGGAAAATGCATAAAGATTTGGGGAAGCGAAGGAAATGGCCATGTTTTCCCCCTTGGTCCCCTGAATTGTCCCCCAGGTCCATCTCTCCGGCTCTTCAGAGCGTATAGCCTGAAAAATACAGCTTATTCTTAATTTCTCCCTCTCTCCCCATTTCTTACCCTTTTATATTGCCTCACATACGACACCTGTTAAAGCTGGAATATTTTTGTAGAGGGTCAAACTCCTGACGCGGGACCTCTCAGATCCGCTAACGTTTTCTCCGGGATGCCAAAGCCTCCTACGGTCCAAAACCCGGGGCTAAGGGTCACCCCCACCCCCCTTCCCGGGGTGTTGCAGCTCCTTGCTGGGATGGATGCTCCGTGCTTTGGTGGAGCTGTAGGTATGAGTGATGTTTGCAGGTGGGACCCCAGCTGCAGCACTGCATGACCTT